ATTCTATTCTCGATGTCTAATGTTCGCACAAAGCTGAGAGAGAGAGAGAGAGAGCGAGAGAGACTTGGTTTATTGGGGAACGAAATTTGCGTCTGATCGAATTGTACGAAAAGTGTGAATTCTAGAAATGAATTGAACGCGAGACGATTAACGGATAAGTCGTGGACGAACGCAGTGTCTTCCGGCGGAAATAATGTTTCTACGAATCTCCGCACGGCGATGGTTTAATTGCTCGTTGCGCCAAAACAAACAGACCACCGAGGATGGTGCAATTCGACACGGGGCCGTGAGTCTAGAAATCGAACGAGTCTATCGGTTTATCGAGAGCTCTCCTCAATCTTGTTATCCTTCAGTGGAAATAGTTACAGAGCACCGTAAGCTCGGCTTCTCACGAGAACGAGTCAAACCGTCTCGTAGGTATTCGCAAATAACACGTTCCGAAGGGTTCTGGAGGTTCTGCAAACATCCCGCGAACCGCTCTCTTATTCCGCTCCGTGGTCTTGCGTTTCTTTCAAATTTGCCTTTTCAAAGACTTCCTTCCCTTCCATCGTGGATCTTTGCTCTACAAATATTATGCTCGATAACGTTTTCTACTTCCAATATCTCTTCTAGGTATTCAAACTTTGATTACGTTAAATCTCTTCCCCCCCCCCTTTTTTTCCTAAAAAGAAAAGCGCGACGCAAAGATTTTCGATAATCTCTGTTCGTTCCCGCGTCGAAGATCGTAACGTCTCCAGGCAAATATTAAACTGTGTCGCGAAATAAAGCCGCAAATATATATGTATATATATATATATATACTTGGCACGGAGTAAAGAAAGAGGAAAAAAGGGACGGGACAAAAGCTATACCGCGCTTTCAATCGAGACCGATGTCATTTCGAATCGGCGACGTCCGCTGACAAACAGGTCGAAGATAATTAGAGCAGCTTATTGATAGGCGAAAGAAGCGGGAAGGAGAAGGTGAACGTTGGGGCCGAGGGAGGTTGGTCGCCGCGGCGAGACAAGTGGTGGAAACGAATATTGTTCGCGGACGAGAAGCGTATGGAGGAGAAAGAAGAACGTGGCGGAGAGAAAGAAGACGGCAGACGTCCGCACTTGAATCTATGCGGATGTCTGAAGGGAGTGAGAGACGGAGAATGGCAGAGGGAGGAAGAGAGCGGCGGAGCGGGAGCGAGAGAGGCGGAGAACAAGGGACGTGGGAGAAGGAGCGTACGTGGCCGCGGAAGGAGGGAGCGAGAGGGCAGGATGGCTTCGATCCGCTGGAAAGAGAGAGGAGTGGAAGTGCAAGAGAACCGATTACTCGCGGAGGGAGCCGAGGGGTCCACGAGGGGCCAGGATACTCGGCGCATGCGCGGCGGGCGTGGGAACGCGCGCTCACGTTCAGACAGTGTCCCCTCTTTCTCTTTCGTTCCATTCGCCCGGCCCTTCTCCGCGTTCCTTCCCTCCTGCTTTCTCCCTCGCGTACCGCAGCTCCTCCTCTCCTCTTTCCACGCGCGTATAGCGCCTGCTCTCTCGCTCTCAGGGCCCAATTCGTCTCTCCTCTCTCTCTCTCTCTCTTCTCTCTCCCCGTGTCCCATTGCTGGCGTCTGGGCGAGGATCCCCGATCACGGCCGAGCGCGCACGATCCAAGGCCCCGCGGGCATGGAGTTATTCGTTCAGGGGTGCTCAATATCTGGGTGATCGTCGATGCAAATAGAGAGTGGATTCTAGTCGCTAGGCGAGATAGACGCGCCTCGATACGAGGCTAATCCGATCCTTCGCGCAGCTGCATCCAATTCTAATCATCGTTCAACATTAGATTCGAACTTCAGACGAGGATAACTCGAAAATGGTCGCACGAACTCGGCACGGTAATTGGAAAATAAATTACGGGATGTGTATCGTTCCACCGCCGATCTCTTAGACGCGAAAGTGGGGAAAAAAGCGCAAAGGATACTGCGCATTGTCGATGAACGCTAGCGATAGAGCGTCGTGTACCACGATGACCGCGAGTAAATTGTACCGTCTCCACACGCGTGCTCTCTCTCTCTCTCTTTCTCTCGATCGGCCTGTGCGGTTTGCACGCGTATAAGTGCACGCACGGCCGAAGAAAACAAGATGCCTTTGAGCCGGACGATAACGCGGTATGGCGCGGTCACCGCAGGATGCTCGCGAAGAAAAAGAACGGGTATTTTGACAGCGCGCGGCAACCTTCGTCATCCTCTGTCGATCGTGTCGCGTCTCCTTCAGCTCCATTCACTCGTCCAGAACAAAGGCCTCGAGCTTCGACTTCGTGATATATCTTCCACCGCGAAGCGAAATCTTCCCCTCGAACAATATCGCGTCGAGTCGATCGAATTTTTATGTCAAAAGTTGTTGCGGGGAATATACGGACAACATCGTTCGACGTACTCGCATAACTCGAACACATAACTCTATGAAACGAACGTTTCCCCGACGGAGCAGATGGCAACGATTGCTATTCAATCGAACACTTAGAAACCGTCGCATGTACGGAATGGAAAAGAAGCGCAGGAAGGTGACACTGAACGAGGACGGAAGTGTACAATTTTATTTTAATTTCGAACGTGATATGCGTGACCCAAGTTCCATTTCTTCTTCTACGTAAATTGCGAATAAATCACTGTAGAAAACGAAACGAATCCTTTCTTTTTTTTTTTTTTATTCGCTTGTAAAACAAATTTCTCTGCTCCTATTTGTTTGTTATATCTCCATATACGCGTAGTACAGAAGCATTCCGCATGATGATGCATATGAACGTGAAATAATTGTACCAAGGGAAAACAAGAATTTCTCGTTCTTGCACGTATGAGCAACCCTCTCTGCGCAGCCGTTTAACCACACTCCAAAGGAACCCGAACGCACCCGAACGCACATGCCTGTATAATAGCACCCTGTTCCTCGAGGGGATGCGCGGATGTCTCCATCCATCATCGTCCATATGTTGTTCCGTTCGATAAACCCTTCCTCAAGGTCTACAAGGGCGATGGAATAAGTTTAACAGGGTCAACAGTCGCAGCTGTGAGCGAGGCAAATTGACGAAACAGCCCCGAATCTTCCCCCTTTATCCCCGGCTGGGGATAAAAAATTTTATGTAAATTTTTCAAAAATGCACCATCGATTCTAAATATTTCATAAAGATGCGCCTAACCAAAAAAATTCGTCGATACACACCGTGCACGACGTAACGAATTACATCGTCAGAAAAATATAAAATTCCGAAAATCGAAAAAAAGAAGGAACGCAATCGATCGAGGATGGAAAAAGCAATAATAACATTTCATAAAGATGTGTTTAACCAAAAAAATTCGTCGATACACACCGTGCACGACGTAACGAATTATATTGTCACGAGAAAAATATAAAATTCTGAAAATCGAGAAAAAAGAAGGAACGCAATCGATCGAGGATGGAAAAAACAATATTATTTTTCCGCGCGAACGAACCCCTTTCACGATCGGAGGTGTACGCTTCGAATGGAGAATCTATGGGGGTCACGTGCCAGCACACGTGACCCGTCTACGCGCGATGAATTCGAGCCTAGGAAGGCTAAGCGCATCGCGCGCAACTGCGCAAGTGCATATCGCCCGCGCGCACCACACACGCTCGCTCGCTCTGAAAGAGAGACGCGAGCGTGCGTGGATCCATCACACGCGTGCGATCGCCCGAAGGGGTGGGTTTCCGCCCCATTGTGCGCCCGATCCTTCGCCCGTTAATTTTAATTCGTTGGTATTGTCAAGTGGCGCTGGCCAAATTTGTTATTGTATCGGATTATGGTCATTTTATGCGGGGAACTTTGGAACTTGTGGGAGAAATATGACCGTGGGTGAAAACGCTTGGATCGCTTCGAACTGTATATATATATATATATATCTTATCGATATATTTCTTCGAAAGATGGAATTTTATGCATTATCGAGATAAGAATGTGTTGTTATTGGGATATAAAATTAGACTAGATTCAGATAGGTTTAGATAGGAGAGATAAATTAATCTTCTTAAGGATAATTAAACAGTGGGGTGGAACAAGAGTGGAAAGTAAGAAACGGAGGCGGGCAGCAATAGGCGGGAAGGTGGCTGCGAGATTAGAGCCCAAGGTCACGAGTACGTAACCATCCACCATCTCAGAATCGCAATTACGTTCTGAAGATTACCGTAGATCCATATGTAGAAACTTGATGATGGAACATTGTAGAACGTTCGGTCAAGATTAATCCAATTTCGGTAGATCGTGGTTCGTTTATTATCGCGCAGCGTTGTAACACTTCCCGACATTTGCATCGAAATCAATCATGTTCTACCAACTTTTTTACGGTGTCTAACAACCGACTATCTACACTAATCTGTAAATAACGAGGAGAAGAGATAAGAATAAATTCATTATTATGAGAATATCTTGCGTTCATTTTGTAAGAAAGGGAGAAAGAATTTTCATATCTTCGTACAACTTCGTGAATAAAGAAAAATTCTAAATAATCGATTTGACAAAATTTCCAGAGTTTCGCCCAATTTTTGTAGCAACAGGCTGATACAAAAGTAAAACTTGAGATAAAGATAATTTGGACACTGCACGACATTCCGTTGGCATGGAAAAAGTTGATTACAAGCGACCTTCTTTTTCTAAATCTTGCGTTATAATCGTAAATGGAGCTAAGACAAAAATTTACGAATAACTCAAATAATAATAAAGATTCGAAAGAAGGCAGAGTTAATAAATTGCAAATTCCGTTTCCCCTCATCATCTTTCTTAAAGATCGTCCCTCACAATTTCCCTCTCGATTCCTATCCTTTTCGCGTGGGAGGAAGCGAAACATCCGGTTCTCTCGACTTTCATCCCCTCGATTCGCCTCCTCCCTCCCTCCCTCCCCGTTTGAACGAATCGATCGAACAGCAACACGATTCGTTCTCGCGACACGCGCCTAATCTGCCGCATGGATCGTGTGTGCGTAACGTGTAATCACGTGACAATAAGAAGAATAAGAGAATGTGTCCACTCACTCGCAATGCGACTCGCCGCGCAACGGTGACACGCAGACTCCTCCGTTCTTGCAAGGGCTCGGCGAACACGACACGATACCTGCAACAAGTGGAAGAAAAAGAAAAAAAATTAATCGATCGAAGATATTTCTATTTCCGTAGTTTTTAGTAAATAAAGGGGATGAAGAATGGAAAATCTTCCATTTCCCTTTCCCCTCAGCTCCGCAACTCAGTGCTGCAAAGCTACAGTTTATCGTGTAAAAGCAATTAAAGCACGGGTTGGAGAGGGCAGAAGAAGTTTACCGGTGGATCCCCCTCCTCCGGGGCAAACCTTTGACACGCCGTGCAAAGTGAACTTTCGTGTATCCCTCCCCTCGCTCGCTCCCCCTCTCTTCGAGGGATACGAGGCGAGATAAGGATAGGGATCGCAACGAAGAGGGAGCGCAAAAAAGGGAGTGACCTTTAAGGGAGCGAAAATATCGGTGGCCACCTTTTGCCACCTCGAGTGGTGGCGGCTGGGTTAGAGAGAAAGGGGGATCACCCGCGCCCGTTGCCTCGAATAATTTCACACGAGTCGAAACGCTTGCACGTGCGTCACTTGCACGTGCGACGCGGAGAGAGGCCGAGGAAAAATGTGGTCGCTTTACGCGCGCGATTCAAAAGTCTCTCTCTCTCTCTCTCTCTTTGATCTGATCGGGCGCGTGATTTTGAAGCCTTTAAGGAAAAGCGGAGATATACGATGGTGAAAAGTAAGGTGATCTGGCGTGCGATCCGTGAAAGAAGGACAGGTCGCTCGACTAGGCTCCTCTTCTTGTCAGCGTAGTTAAGCACACGAGAGAGAGAGAGAGAATCGTTGGAGCGCGATATTCAACCCCTGAATACATTTGTATATCTTAGGTTTAATGTATTCCTTTTCGTTGGAACCATTAATGTCGAACCTCGAATAACATTCGCGCTAAATCACACTCCCGGGAAACGTGTGTTTAAAAGTCGATTAACGTGCCCCGCGCCGCATAAAGTACGGCGTAAGCGACTAATGCACACACCACGGCCATAATAACGTAGCAAATAACTGCTTAACATAGAGGGAGAGGAAGGGAAGGAGGGAGGCAACAAGACCAACTTGACGCGCTTATGTTTTATCAGCGAAGCCCCGGCCGAAGGGGGATTCCGCCTTGTGTCTACGTGACCTCGCAACTTTACAAACCCTCCGTGCGATGCAAGTAGTCCCCGCCTCGAGACGCACTTTTTCTCCTCTCCTACAATCGTTAACTTTGACCAAAAACTCGCCTGCGGGATCCGTGGATGGGAATCGCCGAGCCCTTTGACCGGGTACTTTCGGCATCGCGAGAGAAAAATATTTCACCAAAATCGAGTCGTGATGCTCTAAGGACATGGCTCTTAGACATCGCGGTGTTCAATCGTCATTTACAGTATTTAGAAAAGTCAAGTTCAAAATTAATCAATTTATAAATCACGCCTCTTCGATTTGTTCGATTTACTTTCTTGCGCGAATTCATTTTTTTCGGCCGAAAACGAGAGGGGTTTCGTGAAACAAGAAAGAAAAGAAGGCATCGATCGATTATTTTAATTAACGCGTGGAAAAGAAAGAAAAAGAGAATGAAACGGCGTGACGTAACGGGCGATGGTGTCGCGTGGGACGCGGAAAGTCATTCTAACGTTTGTAAATGTCATCTTAATGGCATACATTTCTCGAGCCGGCCACATCCACACGCAACCGCGTGAACATTCGTGACACGCGCGTGCACTTAGAATTCAACAAGGTTTTGCCGCGCCGTTCGAGGAAAACGTGGCGCGCGACAACCGCTTTCAAATTTTCGCAAGATCGAGCCGTTCAACCGGCTGAACCTTGAGCGACGAGTTGCGAAAATTTTCGATTCGTAAAACTGTCGACGAAGTATCAACAAATTCGTACAGTGAAATATAAAGAAATATCTTTCTTTCGATCGAGAAAAAAATCCGGGATCACGGTTGGCCGTCACGCTGGACGAGACGATTCAATCCGCTCGGAGAGAAAGCGCGAGGGGAGGGGCCGAGAGAGCGACGAAGGCGAAGTAGCAACGTCCGCGACAAGAGGATGAGATCAGTTAAACCAAACTGCCTTCGTGACAAATCCTCCGTTTCCTCTGCCGGTTCGCGACTCTCCGTTTCACTGTCGTTCACGCGTGCACGCACACATCTTCGGTGTGATTCCTCCTCGGGATTTCCGTCCACGGACCGCTCTCATTAACATTAATTCCGGCAAACCGCTCTTAATTCCAACCTTCGTGTTCTCTCTCCTTTTCTCTTCTTTTCTGGCCAAGATTCGCGTTTCCTTCACGGAAAAATTGGAAATTGAGAGTGAAAGAGGAGAGAGAGAGAGAGAGAGAGAGGAGAAGAAG